ACTTTAATTTGGCGATTGATTCTAGTGAAAAGGCGGCGCCTTTGGGGATGGGTTATGATCTCATGACTCTGTCTTCAATGGGAGGAGTTCATATTTACTTTAGAAATTGCTCAACTAGGTTAACAAAGAAGGAACTTTTCGATTTCTCTGAAATGGTTGTCGTGTATTAGTTGGCGAGAATCTGCTGATCATTGGTTTGGTACTTGTTGTTGTTCGTTTGGTGGGATTAGTGAGAAGATGGTTATTATGTACAAGTATTCGTATACTTGCTCTAGTGGGTTGTGTTTACTTTACTGCTACTAGTCTACTACTGTTTTTGTTTAGCAAGGATGATCTTGTAGAATGTTGTATCTTTGTCTAATGGAATTAAAAACCAAGTTGAATCGAGTTTAGCTCTGAGTTTTTATCTTGGTGGAGGTGAACCGCGTTCTGGAAGTAGTCAAGACATTTATGATGTGAGCCATACTTTGTACTACTTGTTGTAGTGAGCGTTATTGAAATACACACTTAACCATGTGAGCTCGGTTAAATTGTAACCGAATCGAGCTCGATTTGGTTTATTTTGGTTTCTTGGTTAAATTGAACTAGTTAGGCTGGAATGTATATCTTTGAAGAGAAAGAAACAGAAGACTATATGCCATCTTATTCCACTCTATGGCTTATGCCACTAGTGAAGTTAAATGGCCACGTTTTACATTTTGAAGTTTTTGGAGTTGAACAATACTTAGACCATTAATTCTTAACAAATCTTGGACCATCATTATCATCTCCCAGTCATGGTCTAAGTATTGTCATGGAAACATCTTCTTCACAAAAACTAGGCCGTTACTTCGGACCGCGTAGTTTTCAAGGGAAATGTAAGAGGAAGCCTTCCAAGAGCTGGTTAGTAGTTGTTCTTCCTCGTTTGGGCCTGTGGCCTTAACGTTTTCAAGCCTTGTAATCTTTTTACCCTTTTTGTATTGTTGTTGGGTCTGAGCCCTTTATCTTTTTCAACTTTCTTTTCAATCTTTTCTTTTCCTTTTTTTTTCTTTTTATATAGGCATGTGGCCATGTTGACCGTTTTGGTATTGTAATCGGCGTTTTCTACTTGGTATTGCTATAAAAGTTTTTTTTTAAAATGTAAGATTAACTCCAATTTTTTCCAGTGATATTTCCACTATGGATCTCTCTCTTTCGTTGTAACGGTGTCCAAAAACGAGCGGTTGGAATAACAGCAAAACAGAGCGTTTAGACTCCCTCTAATTAAATGAATCGTTTTGGTTTTGGTAGTTTTAGAAAAAGACAGATTTTTAATATACCATTTTGGTGTATATTAGCATTGTTCAAGCTATTTTTAAAAAACATATTATATAATGATAAATTTTAGTTTAAAAATCAATACAATTTACTTAAAATAGTATTTATAAAAAAAAACTTTGAAGCGTCTAAGCGTTAAATTTACCATACGCGAAAACATGTTGAACTTTTACACCAAACTTACGGACCACAAAGGGACTGGATGCTAGGTTCGGTTTATTTTCGACGTATTTAATTTAACACTTAGATACAACAAAATAATTATAAAAAAAAAACATTTTGGTTAACTTAAAATGTAAAACTATTTACTTGAAAAATATTTGGTAAAAAGTAAAAATTTTGATATTTAGTTTTAAATTATAAAAATCAGAAGTGAAAAAAAAACATAAAAACTTTTTTACTTTTTGTATATTTTAAAATCAAAATCATTATCCTTAATCAAAAAAAAAAAAATGGTAAGAAAGTAACCTGCAAAGCTGTGATGTCTGGATCATCATGAGGGAAGAACTACCTATATGTTACACATAATACAAAACAAACCCATGAGAGAATCAGAGATATCATCTCTATGCATAATACCACTCGAATTCAATTCTCAAAACCAAATTAAAAGATGACGACGAGTATCACGAACCTGCTTATGAGGATATGAATGTTCTTCTTTTCCGGTTCTTGCTCTCTTCCTCCTCCCAGCTTCTCGAGGACACGTTTCATGAGGAGCAACATCTACTAGCTTGTGATCCAAGCAACATATTCGTTGTAGGTTACACCCACTCAGGTTTGTGATCCAAGCAATTTGATGGATGCAAATGAAACCCAGAATTTTCAACCATGAGATGAAACACAAGAGGATAATGTTTAAATGGAAACAACAATATAAACTGAATTTTTCTTGACATACTTGTGTTTGGCTGTCAAGTGCGTTCTACGTGAGCCACTTGCATGAAATATCCGGCAAGCATGGTTGATAATAGTAGTTAAAATGAGTGCTGCACATCTTCAGGTTGTTTAAGAAAGAGAAGCACCATGACGAGGACCAAGTTGTGCAAGCTAGTGAACCGGTCTTTAAAAATGGGGTTCCTCTTGTTAGGTCTCTCGTTGTTGAGCTTTGGCAGATACTTGGAGTGTTCCAAATACTTTGACATTTCCTGAGAAAACAGATCACAAAGATTGAAGTATTTTATGTAATTGGAAATGATTTGAGGATTAGAAAGATAAGGGCTTGAGTTTACGGTAGGGATCTTGATATAACCACTTGGAGCAATATGATCCCTGCAGAGTCATTAGAGTTGTTGTTAATGATGGGTATTTAGTAATGCTTAAAGTTTCTGAATCTTGATCAGAGAAGAAGAGAGAGGAAGTGTACTTGAATGTAGTCAGTGTACACCTCTGCTTTCAGCAACTTGCAAAGTGAAGACTTTTAAAACAGAGAACCACATTGTTGTTGTTATCTATCTGGAAGAGCTGCTGTCTAACATTGTCTGTAGATTTCATAGGCACCAATTGGGATCTTCATCTGTAAGAATTTTTACATTAACCAAGTTAATTACCGTAAATTGTAATTGACAAAAGAGGAAGAGAAAGGGATGATCACTTACTGTTTTTGCTTAAAAGCGTGGTAGACGATTCAACACTGTTTAGATGATCTCCATCAATGTGTCCAAATCTAGCTTTAGCTTCTTCATCTGCTGCTTTTTGATCCTTTACAGGCTGAATAAAGCAGAGAAAGAATTGGTATTTATAAAAGAAGAGGTCCATGGAAGAAGTCAACAGATGCATAAAGGCAATGAGAATAACTGAGAAACTGCAACTAGTATCTGCATCAGCACTTACTTGCATGGGTATGCAGAACCTAAGACTAGAGACTGCTGATGATAACCTAACTCTAATACTTGATTATAACTGATAATCACTACATACCTAACCAAAGCTAGCAAGAATCTTTTCAAGAAAACGAAAGTAAAGGGGTGGTACCTGAGAGCATGGCTGAAACCGAGAGAATCTCATTTGAGAAGTTGAATACAGGATCTGTGGATCCAAGGGGAACTCACTGATCATTATCTTACCTGTCTTTGTCAAGTTACCTTCACCATCCATTGCTCCCAAGTAACACATAATTAGCCACAAAAGTACATAAGATTATAAAGAAGAGAAGCTAAAGAGAGACAGAGCTTACTTAAGCACGGTTCTGGTTTCCTCAAAACGAACGATGTAACCAACTTCAGCATCACGACGAGAAAAAAACATGGCTGCAACTCTACGAGGCTGCATGTCCTGTGTTCATCCACCAACCAATGTATAACAACGTATAGGATTTGTACAGATAAACAGATTTTAGATACTAAATCATCATCATGATCTCTAATTAAATCATTCCTAATCTCCAATAGGAATCAAGGAGACGAGGGCTTTTTACAAATACCTCTCTTCGCTGGTGAAAGCTTCGCCGTGGCTAGACTCAGTAATCGATATTGTTTTCTTTTACTGAAGAAGAAGAACAGAGAAGATCGATTTGATCTTATCATTCAAATTCAATCAATGAAACGATGATACAAAAGTACTTTTCCAATCTTACCCTTACGGATCATCATCATCATCGTCGCCTCGATCGGGTTCTACTTGGATGGATCATCATCGGCGGAGTTCACAGAGACCTATTACGCATGCCTCTCGACTCGATTCTTCGCTTCACTTTTTCAATTCCGTCGTAGTCTCTGGTGAAGCCGATACAGATTCAGAGATCGATCGATCTATATCATTCAATCAATGAAACGAGACGATGATACTTTTCCGATCTTACTTTTACGGATCATCATCGTTTTAGGGTTTACAAAGAGGAAGAAGAGAGTTTTGAATTATCTCTCAGGGATGAATGAATGAAGAAGAACGAAGCGATGAGTTGTGTGATATGTGAGAGAGAGAGAAATTAAGGAAACTGATGTTTAATCTCACAACGGTTAGATTTTTAATTATAACTTTTAAGGAAATTAAAGAGATTTCGTTTTTGTTATTTCCTTTTCTTTCTTCATCCTAACGGTAACAAATTATTATTTACTAGATAGTTTCTAAAATTTCAAATTTCAATACTGAAACATGCTATTCATATATGTATCATGTTTTTAATTTTTATACGTTATAAATTATATACACAACCGTTAAGAGTTAACATACGAGCAAATGCCTTCCATCTTCGTGTTCGTATCTTCAGGGCTCACGTCTCATGGATGCTTCTATGATAATGATTTTTTTTTTTTTTTCACTTTTTCAAATTTAGTTTCTGGCTCACTTTTGACTTACATTAAATACTAGATTAGGACCTTGAGATGAACAGATTATCTATATTTAAAAATAAATTTGAAAATAAAATTAAAAGTATCATTAGAGATTGATATCCAAAGCTTTTTGAAGAAAAATTTAGAGAATTATTTTAGTTAGTAAATATTTGTTTTTATGGAGCAAACTAATTCACATGAGTATATATATTTTAAAGTTGTTACTTTTTTTATGGAGCAAACTAATTCACATATGTATATTCTAGTGTCAACCACCAAAAACTTTGCAAACTATTCGCCATCATTCATATTATTGCCAACAAAAATTAAAAACTTAATTTAGCAATTACCTCTTAACATGACAACAGTTTATACAATAAAAATTTCTGATGATTTTTTTTCTTTAATTTTGTTTCTCATAATCTTTTCAAGATGAGCTCAGAAAGAACAACATCGCAATGTTTCTTCCGACAAAATAAATATTTCAGGATGTTGTTTCCAAAGAGCTCAAATTTGTCATCTGCATTATGGAATAACTTTGAGTCATCATTAACCGAGAGATTGAAGAAACTCATACCTCAAAACAAAGATGAGATTCTCACCTTACCTTGGATGATTTTTGCGATGGAATTACTCTATGATACACATAATGACATAAACATCTTCATCACTAATCTCAAGCTTCATGATATAACTGATTGGTCTGATGTTTACCTGGATATAACCGTTAAATTTATGGATTTTTGTAACGCTATAAGCTCCTTGCTTGGTTGCATCGACCATTGTATTTTACGCTTTAAGGTCCTTTGGCATAAACTAGAAATGAAATCTGAGGAGGAACAATGCAATGAGAGTTGTTCTACTCTTAATAGTTGTAGGAAAGATATTACGGCAGAAATCCGGAAATACCACACAGTTCTTGGGAGATATGTTGAATCATTAAACTTGTACAGAGTCAAGAACTTTAAGAAAGCAAAGGTTTTAATGAAGGCGTTTTACGCGGCTAGTGTTCTTACGGCTTATATTTACAGTGTGTTTGTAACAGTTTTGTCGAATTCAGACAAAGATGTTTTTCCAATAAATGTCTCAAAGCAGTCATTGTGGGAAAAAGATTTCTTGAATTTGCAGACTATTGTAAACGTCAAAATAAAAGATTTAGTCTCCTCTGATGGAACAACGACGGTACTCAAAGAGTTGGAATGTGTTATTGCCAAAGTGACGAAGAAGATGTGTCGTACAATTCAAGATGGTGATGATGTTCTTGTTCATGAGTCGGTCGAGGAATCTAATGGGGAAGGGAAAGAAGAAATCGAGAAATTGGATCATGAGCTAGATGAACTATCAAGGAGAATTCGCAACTTATTTAGTATAACCTTAAAAGGACGTGACACCATTTGTGAAGGTTTGTTGAGTGAATTCACTCATGCATGAACCTCACATATGTAATTAAAAATCTCCATTTTCTTTTATCTA